ATATGGCTTCCAAAAGGAAAGTATTGGCTATAGCATTTCTGAGAATTCATTATTATGAAATCATTATTTTCCTGAGGATGAAAACTTGCCTAGGTAGAGGACACCTGAGAAAGGTCATGTTCAGGAGTATCGTGGGAGACACGTGACTGATTCTGTCAGGATGGCTCCACATCTATCTGTGAAAGGACACATAGTTCCAGAAGGCGTGTTGATTTTCTGTGATCCCCATACATCCAATCACCTGCCAAATGACTGGTGGTGGCTCATCTGACTCTGGGATGATTTTGACAAGAGACTCGGAATGTCGATAGTTTCACTTCTTGCCTAGTTAGTGAACTTGAGACTTGGATTCAGAAACTAGACCCTCACTAGGACTCTGTTTCTGTATACTCTGTTCTTTTGGGTCCCCTGCCCCTGAGCTCCTTGCCATGTTCTGTTTGGGAAGCCAAGTTTCAGCTTTGCCACTTTCTTCAGTGTCTGAGCCCTGGCACTCCATGAGTGCCTCTCAGACGAAACCAGTGGTTTGCTTGTTAGCAGCCTTCTCTGAAAATGTCAGTGTGTGTGTGTGTGTGTGTGTACATGTGTTCAGGGATGCATGTGCAATTGTGTGCCCTTGCATGTGGAAGCCAAGGACTGATGTCAGATTTCTTTCTTCAAAGCTCCACCTTAATTTTTAAGTCAGTCTTTCACTGTATCTGGGGCTCTGTGATTTGGCTTGACTGGCAGGCCAGCAAGCCCCAGGGATCCTGCTTCCCCACCCAGTACTAGCCATTATGGCTAGCTTTGTGTGGGCACTGGGGACTGAACTCTGTTTGTCCAGCAAAGTACTTTACCCACTAAGGCTTCACCCCAACCTGAAAAACCTAGTTCTTAAATGTCTGAATTCTCATCTGTGTGCTATACAAACTTCCCTAACCTATTGCTCTCTTCTCTGATGGATGCCAGATTACTTAGGATCCTGGTGACCCTACACAGGGCCTCACTGATTGCTGGGTTGTGGGGGTCCCCACAATCAGCACAGCTGGCAGGGAAATGATCGGGTGAGGTAAGAATAAAACTCAGTTCAGCATGACTTAGTTAGCCATGCTGGTTCAAACTTCCGGAGTCTGATGCCAAGTAGTTTATTTTTTACATATTTAAACACAGTAAAACTTTGGAAAAAGGTTTCCTTGTGACAATTATTACAATAAAGCTTTAGGCATGGCTGCACTGACACTCCTTGGCAAAGCACATCTCTTTAGCAAAGCACCTGTGAGCTTTACCACAGAGTGAATTCTACTGACTGAGAAGCAGTACTCAGGATAAGGGCCTAGGGAGGAAGGGTCTGTAATAAGTACAAGGATGGGTTCCACTGATTGAGAAACAATGTTCAGGATTCTGGGGTCTGGCTCCATGGACCAGCAAAAGATCACCAGGTTATTAAAAAACACCCACTCCAGCCTTTGAGGTGAACAGGTGTCAATTTCTTCCACTGAAGAAAAAAGCCTGCGTGTTTAACAATTCCAGTTTGGCTAGTGAGTACATGGACCTTATGTCATTCTACACTGGATGTGCTTGGGTCTGAAAAAATAAAAAAAAAATCGTGATTTAGGGCAAAGCACTAGATTTGTAAGTTTTAGAACTCAAACTTATTTAGCAATTTTCCTTCTTGGAAACTGACTTAAAAAATTTCCCCTGAAATTAGAATTTAATTTGCATTAAATTAAATGTAATTTAGATGCACACATTTAAAGAGTTACACCTCAGTTAGCTCTGACAAATCGATGTACACATATGATAGCTCACGTCTTCATCAAGATATAGACCGGTTTCACCGTTGTGCACATTTTCCTCTCACTCTGGACAGTCCACTGTCTGCTTCCTCGTGCAGTTGCGGCCCGAATCCCTATCACTATACAGTTATACAGTCTGTCCTTAAGTCTCACAAATGAATAGTATCCAGCCAGAACAATGTTTTTTTGAGAGCCATCCTCACTGTTGCATGTTTTAGCAGTTTATTTTGAAAGAGATGGACGTTCCTCAAGTGTGCCTTAGTAGTATCAGCACACACTTGCCACTATGTACATAGGCTTGGAAACGAGGGGTGGTAACTCAAGTCTATGTATTAAACAATGATAGTACCGAAAGGACCTAAATCAGACCTTCTTTAAATGCAGCTTCACTCCAAAGCATCCGACAGTGTTTGCCCCTTCTCGACCAAAGGAACACACTGCATGGCAAGTACAACAATCCCCAAAATGATCTGTTTCCCTGTTTCTATCACACTTTTTGCCATGTGTTTATTTGGTGTATAGGAGGTCCTGAAACTTGTTTTGTTGGATTGGGATGTGAAAGTAGAGAAATACATTAAAATCATGGAAGTTGAATAAACCTTAGTTTATTCCAATAAAGAAGGGGAACTATTTATGTATTGATTAAAGGAAAAAAAAACTTGTATTTACTTCATACTCAAGTTTGAGGAAATTATTTCCCAAGGTGTATAGAATAGAATTTAAGCACTATGCTAATAATGTAAACACCACTGAAGTATACAGGTTGAAAATTGAAGAGTTGCTGGGTGGTGGTGGCACACACCTTTAATCCCAGCACTCGGGAGGCAGAGCCAGGCAGATCTCTGTGAGTCCAAGGCCAGCGTGGTCTACCAAAAAAGAAAAAAAAATTAAAGAGTTATACAATATATTCTTCTCTAAATCTGATTGGCATCTATGACTCCTGGAAACCCAATAAATGAAAATGATTGGTTTCAATGTATTCATGGTTTTCATTCTTTTAAAAAATTCTGCTTTATGAATATATGATAATTTGCTTATCTGTTCAGTGGACATGCTTTCAGATGCTTCTAGTTTTTACTTATTGCAAATAAAACTGGTATAGCATTTATGTACAACATTTTGTGACCATATGTTTCTATTCCTTTGCATGAATACCTAGAAATGGAATTGTTGAGTCACACTGTAGGTGTGTGTTTATCTTGATAAAACCTTCCAATCTGCTTCCCAAAGTGGTTTAATCACTTTCTTTTCTAACCAGCAGTTGAGAGCTCTGGTTTCTTATTGCTCTGTTGGTACTGGGTGGTATCAGTGCTTTTCATTTTAACCATTTTTTGTAGGCATGGATTGGAATTTCTTTGTGGCTTTAATTAGCATTTTTTTGATGACTAGTCATGTTGAATGCTTTTTCATATACATATGGACTATTTATAAATCTCCTGTCAAATGTCTGCAGAAGTCTTACTCATTAGACATCATTACATGTTTGTTTTCATTGCCGAATAGTAAATGTTTATATATCCAGGAATTTGCATGTATCAAATATATTTTCACATGTACGTCAAGAATGTTTTCTTCTGCTTTCTCACTGATGACTTTGAGTTAGTAAAAGCTTTTTACTGTTGATAAAGTATGTTTCTTTTTTCTCTTCTTTTTTTTTTCAGAATGAGTACATTTATTTGCCCTACAAAATCTTATCCTCCTTAAAAATCCAAAAATTATTTTTTTCTTTAAAAGATACGCATTATTTTTAATAGCCTTACAGTCTAAGGCAAAAGCTGAAGTTCAGTTTTTCTTTATCGATATTGAATTATTGGGGGTTGACTTGTGCTATCCAAACAGGAAACAAGTTTTGAATACTGCATGGTGGCAGAATGCTTACTTAGCATGGGTAAAGCCTTGGCATTCAATTCCCAGCACAGACAAGGTGGGGCGCGAGAAATAAAAGAAAGAAAGAACATACAGACCAACAGTTTAAAAGCTAGCATATCAATTGATGTCTATCATAAATCTGTTTGGCTATGCATCCACATTTTGATATGAGGCAGTCATAATTTATAAGCAGACCCAAGTGGAGAGTAAAAAGTTGTAGTCAACTACTGTTTCTTTGGACTTGAATTTAGAACAAAGAAACAACTAAAAACTTGTTGGGAGGACTAGAGTGAAACCCGCACGAGCATTTCATTTTCTAACTTCCTTCTCAGACAAAAGAGCACCAATCACAGCACAGAAACCCCAAGCCCAACGTGGTTCCTCGGGGTTTCATGATAGGTTGCAGGGTCTGCATCACTGCTGGCTTTGAACCTGTTTTATGTTCTATCTTTGCTGGTAGCCTATGACAGAGCTCCTTGTTCATGTCAGTGTGCCAGTTCCCAAGCACAGTGCAGAAGCACAAATTTCAGTACTACTTAGTTCCACAGATGGAAACCCACCTTGAAGGTGCTTAAGACAAACAGGATTGGGTCTGATTATGTAGCTTGAGAAGTCCAAAGACTAGATTTGCTTTCAAAACATAAGGTGAAAATTGTTTTGGTAAACATTTTAATAGTGAAAGTAGTCTAATGCTATCATTCCACCAAGCTATCATATATATGTATATAATTTTCATAATTTAAAAATATCCTATAGCAATCAAAGTCAGAAAAATTGCCTAGAACATGTAGTAAATGAAATTTATGTTAGTTTTCTATAGAGTTTTCTGAAACCTGAGAAAAAGTATCCCATACCCTAATTTCTTAACACAAATTACCAGTATTTTCCTTTCTACTTTAAATTGCAATATAAACATTAGTGAGTTTGCTTTAGTGGATATTTATGCAGGGTTTTCATGAAATAGGGAGACAGAGAAGAGATGGTGTTGGACAAATGACCTCTGTGGTCCAGGCGCAGCTCCAATCCTTGCTTCTCTTCTGAGGTCATAACCAACTCTTGTTTATTTTGACATTCAGAAAGATGGCACATCTCTGGCTTTCTTTGCTGCTTGCGAAAAGCTGAGGTGGTTGAAAAGCGAGGGTGACTGCCTTCCCAGTGTCTTTTTGATCTGTCCTCCTCGGTGCTGTGCAGAGCTGGAGCCACACAGAGGAGGAGCTCCTTGGCATTGTGCGGCAACCCCCCTCCACCGCAACCCCCCTCCCGGCCAGCGCTGAATTCGCAGATCTTGGTTGCCACGTTCCTGCTCCTTTACATTTTCCCTGCTTCTCATTTCGCCAGCAAACGAGGTAGCTGTAGCCACAGATAGACTTTTGCCTTTTTTCTTCTTCCCTCCTCCTACCCCTCCCTAGACCTCTCTGGGCTTTGACGTCATGTGTGCTCCTTTCAGTTGCCATAGCAACCCCATTCCCCAAGCCCTCTGTCCGTCTCCTCTGGTAGGCTCCACAATGGTACAGGCAGCCTCCCGCTGCACAATGGTTTCCAGGCAGTGAGAGAGGGTGATTCAGCAAGCCACTCTTCTCTTCCAACCGCCCGGCTCTTTTTATTTTTATGGGAGTGGGTGGTGCTTCCTATATTATATGCTTACCTTTTTTTTTTTTCTATTTTCGTTTTTACAAATTTCCTTTCTCTTCCTCACTCCTCAATTCCCAGGGGCTTGAGTGAGCTAAAGATTGGGTCTTCTCGGAAATCACCTGTCTGTTATTATTTTTAAACAATCTCCACACCTCCAAAGACTCTCCTCCTTATTCCGGTTTGGAATGTGGCTAATGAAAACCCAGTAGGGAAGATTTCTGAGGCAAGCATCCGGACCAAGATCCTAGTTCTCAGGCACGGAATGGTAGGTGACTCCTTGCTCATTTTGGGTTCTAGCCTGTTTTGGGAGGGTGGGTGATATCTGTCATCGGTCTTGTGGGATAGGAGAGAGCATGAGAAAGTAGGAAGCGATGGGGTTAGAGAGCCAGTTTAACGAAACATACTGTCACCGAGGCAAGAAGACCTTGGCATTTTACTCTGGGCATCCTCTTCTCAGACCGAGGAGTGAAGCGCGCTAGAAGGTGGACAGACCATTATTATTGTGACCCGGTAAAGCAGAGTAAGAGAAATGCACACATGAGAGTGGAGAGAGAGAGAGAGAGAGGGAGAGAGGGAGAGGGAGGGAGAGAGAGAGAGAGAGAGAGAGAGAGAGAGAGAGAGAGAGAGAGAAAAGAGAGAGAGAGGGAGAGAGGGAGAGAGAGAGGGAGAGAGGGAGAGGGAGAGAGGCTTGTTTAGAAGTGTGGCTCTCAGTTTGAGAAATGCTATAGGTCTCATAAGATATTTAAAAATGTCATTAATACACATAAATTTTATTTCCAGACGGGTTTAACTTTAAATATTCTGAAATATATTCATACAGTTTATATATGTATATATACATACATATACATAAACACACATATATAGCAAACTAATGAGCCATATATATATATCTCACAAACTAATGATGTTCCTCTTGTAGAAATACTCTGAGCTAAATCTGCAGACAGGAACACAGAACAGGGGCTTGACCAGGGAAAGAGCAAACATTGGCACTGCAGCTACGTAGGTAAAGGTCCCTTTAAGAAAGTGATCGCCCAGTCACAGTAGGCAGCATTTTCTATGGCAAGGTTCCCAGGTATTCTGTGCTGCGATACTGTGTCCCCTAGAAATGTCAGAGCATTTTCAGAAGAAACAGATGCTGTCATTGGGAAAGAGCTTGGTGATACAGTTTTCAGAATTTATGTGTTTGCTCCTTCAGCAGAACAAGTGTGGTGTATTGGAAAGCCTTCAAGTAAATCAGGTTATGGATATTTCAAGAAAATTATATGTATGCATTATGTATATTCCTTTCTTTTCCCTCCAACATTTAAATATAGAGACCAAGATGCTGCTTTGACTGCCTTGTGCAGATAACTTTCAAGGGCATTGCAATCTGGCCACAGGAAAGAATGGCTTATCCCAGGGCAGTAGGCTCTGAAGCAGCCACAAGGTTGTTTACATGGTCTGCTTTTGCTGCAGAGCAATGTGTCTGTATGACAGCGCTGGTGATAACTTTCCTGAGCACAGGCTAAGTCATATGGGACAGGCCACAGTTGGCGGTGAAGGAAGGTGGGTGTTAGATGGACCAGGCATTACCTGCCCAATTTCTCCCCCTTTCCCAACGCTACTATTGTCAACCCTGGAAGGTCCTGCAGAATGCTGATCAACATATTTAAAATGGTTGCGGTAATGGCCATTTCTCTCAGAGAGGCTTCAGTAGACGTCTGTCCTCGGTGAGCATGTATGTTTTAGTACAGCCAGCCACGCTCATGAATGAATTCACGAGCTTCCAACTCCACTTTGGAACCATTGGGTTTTAGGGCTAGACACTTTGATATCGCAGTCTTGCTGCTTCTGGAACATATTTCCTTTCTTTTTTAAAACCTTGATCTCACCCTTAATATTTGACACAAAGTATTGGATTCGTTTGTTTATCTACCAACATTAGAAGGGATTGTCTCTGCAGCTGAGAAAGGTGGAACGACCTTAAGCATGAGTTTCCAGCGTCCTTAGCGGCTTCTCCTTCCCTCCTGCCTTTAGCAGCTTTCATTTGTGGGGCTCTGGTTTCTGCAAAAATCTTTGCAATTGTAATGAAGAGATTCCAGGTGATGGGGAAGCCAGAGCTCCCCAGGGAGTGGCAAATTCAGCTACCTCCAGCTGCCTACTTGCTGCCCCCCAAAACAGTATCTGCTGGGAGAGGGTGTGTGCTTGCATGCCAGAAGAGGGTGATTCTGAGCAGATCCCACAGGGACCGAGTGTGTTCTCGCTGTGACTGTGACCGGCGCATCTGCAGCTAGTACTACAGTTTCTTAGTGCGTGGTGGAGATGGTCCAAGGTTAAGAGGAGAGCTGATCATGGATGCTATAAAATATATAAAATACAGTTATTTTAAATCTACAGCCAAACTCATTCACTGTCAGCGTATGCTGTATCAGAAGTGAACGAGGTGTGCCCAGTACAAGTGTTCAAAGGTACATTGTATATTGAAAGTTATGTTAGAGCCTCACGGAAATGAATCTATCTCTTTGAATATAAGCTTAGCTACAAAGTTTTCCCATCCTGATGATAAAAGATAAAGACCAATTGAGGCTCCTTGTTTGTTGGACTCAGGACCAGGCATTTTTTCCTGTTCTAGAGCTCAACTCAGGTCTTATGTGTAACTAGAGGATGGACGTGGAGTGGAATTGTTGTGAGTAAACCAAACAAATCTTTGGTTGCTCATTGGAAAAATGGGGTGCTAGCAAAGAAGGAGACTTCCTTCGATCTGCATGTGAAGGAAACACGTCTTCACTTAGAGGATCTCACCCTCAGTTCCTCCTCCCTCCTCTAAGATTATTTTCAAAGCTCCTGCTGGGCCTTGTGGTGGTCTTGCTTAGAGGGACACAGAAGTGTCCAGTGACAGGAAAGGAGTGCAGGGCTCTATTAGGTTCAGGCTGGTCGAGCACTTCCCTCCACACATGCAGCTGTTAGGCACCTTCTACAGAGCACCGAGGATGCATAGGGAAAGGGGGCCTCCGGACTCCTGGGAGAGGAGCTTTATCAGTCAAGATGAACAAAATCCATTTGTTTCTTCGGTTATTGAGGTTATTTGTTGCATTACATAATCCTGAGCACTGTGCAGCTGATGCTGATAAGATGGCTTGCTGCATATTTCTTGAAGAGGACTGTCTTTCAGAACGGGAACTTGTGTTTTTAGACACCCGTTACTCCATATGTTTTCACACGGAAGTTCTAGTATTTTGAGAAGATTTTTTTTCCCTTGTTTTGAGTATAGTTCAACCTCATGAGCAAATTAAGGTGAAGAAAGAAAACTTAAAAATCTATATATTTGAGGACCATTGGTTCCCCTATGCCTAATGCAGAAAAATTACTTCTTCTTTTTTTTTTTTAAATAGAGAATCTTGGTAAAAATGAGTGGAGACACTGGGTAACACCACAAACCCATGAATGAAACCTGTCCTTTTGGAAGCAGGCTCTGAACGCTGCTGTTTTCAGCAAAGGATCTTGTAGTTTGGTATTTTGGACATCCAACAAGCTACCTTAGCTTTTCTCATCATTCTTAGCTCTAGTGCCCACAAGACACAAAACCCATCGCTTAAGAAACTAGTGCTGGTGGGAATGGAAGTCTGAGTTTTGTGAAGAGAAACAAACGACAGAAGGTTCCTGCAGAAGTGTTCTGATCACAGCTGCTCAAACGCCCTGAGTGGTGTGCAGAGGGAAGACGCAGCCATGGTACAGGGCAGTAGGCATGGCCAGACAGCCTGCACAGTGAGAGACAGGACCCCAGTGATTCCTCACCTCACCCCTCCTCCACCTTCTTTAACATCAGGAACAAGACAGAACCTAAGCAACAGAGACTTAAAAACACTACAAATTCACGTCAGTGGGTTTTCCTCTCAGAAATTAAACCGAGTCCTGGTTTGTGGCTAGTGGCCTGCTCGGATGCACCAGGTGCTTCCCAAGTGTGGGATATTGGGGTCCTTGTGCTCCTTCTGTGTGGAAATGGGACCCGGAACTATGGAGTGTGAAGGGAGGTCCCCAGGTCTGCTTACTTGGCTGTGTTTATTTCGTGTCTATAGGAGGAGGCTCCCTCTGCATACCGATCACCACACAAAACAGTGATCTCCTGTGCCTTCAGGTCTGTCTTGCTCAGTCTAGCACACAGTAGGTATCTATGAAGTGAGAAGTGCTGGGGGTGGAGGAGAGTGAGATGAGAACACAAAGTTTCAGCCATTGAAGTCGATGCTCGTGGGGAGTTGAGTTACACGGTGAAGATGGGATAGTTTGATGGTCAGTGCAGCAGAACCGACGAGGAAGATGATCCACACTAAAATGGTGATACAGGACAAACGAGACCGTGCTGGGATGTTGGAAGTAGCTGAGTGAGTGGTGGTGAGAAAGGTATTCCTAGAAATCACTGGAAGACCCTGTCCACGGGTGATACTCTTACTTGACTAGAAAAGGAGAGTATTTCAGGATTTGGTAAGATGGAAATTAAGTTCGTGGTTTGTCAATAGGTAGAAAATTGAAAACTGGCACAGGCCTTGAGAATCTGGTCTAAACTCATGCAGCAATAAGGATAAAGAGTGGGTCTATAAGATCGGATTACTACAGACCAACATAAGCTTAGTTTTTTTTTTTTGGTTTTTTCGAGACAGGGTTTCTCTGTGTAGCTTTGCGCCTTTCCTGGATCTCGGTTTGTAGACCAGGCTGGCCTTGAACTCACAAAGATCCACCTGCCTCTGCCTCCTGAGTGCTGGGATTAAAGGCGTGTGCCACCACCGCCCGGCAAGCTTAGTTTTATGTGTCAGACCCGAGAGGGTTTTACCTTTTCTCCTTTTTGTTGGTAAGCATGTAGCCATTGTTCCTGTGTATTCTACTGTAAAATGAAGACTGTGTTCCAGTGGAGGCCTAACTGATGTGTCTCACAACTAAGTCTACAGTTAGAAAAACAGATATCCTATCCAGTCAAATAGTTACTAATTGGGTTTTATGTTCAGATTTTAAAAACATGTAGCTGTTCTGCTCTGGACACCGAAGTTCCTTTGTTTGCAACAAATTCTAACAGAAGTCATTACCTCAAATAATTGATGTCATCTCCCTGCTCCTTGCCACACGGGAAAATTGTTTTTACTGTATTTGATGTTAGTATTTTGTTTTAATAGTGCAAATGAAGTTAAATGTGGAATCTTCAAATTGAACTATGTATCATTTTGCTCTGATTTTAGGCTAGTGTGAGAACACCACCGGCAGGACCCTCTCAGATCTTGGTTATGGCAACTCACGCAAGAAGCTGTTGAATTAGACCCCTTTCCTATAGATGAGAAACCACACAAGCAGTGGTGAGTTGAAAATCTGCAAATATTCCTTAGTAGAACATTTATAGTCAACATGACCAACTTACTTATCACATATAGTCTCATCTATGGATCTGAATAAACACTGTTCCAAATGGTGTCAATCTAGGTGAAAATCGATAGGAAAGAACATGTACAGTAGTTGATGGTGTGGTCATTTTAATACCTCTTATAATTCTGTGGTTTTGAGATATACCATGATTTCATCTCCATGAACCATCCCAGTCTACATAGGAAGGCTTCAGCTAATAACATCATGTTGTAGAGTAACAGCTGGGAAACATTATTTTAAGTCGTATTTTTAGTTTGTAGCATGCTACTACATTATTAAACTCCTTTAGTGGAAAAATTGGTCCTGAGATAAATTAAAATGCTTAATTCCTTTCAGAACCACACACACACACACACACACACACACACACACACACACACACATGCACTGCATACACACCACACACACATACCACACCCCCACAACCAAACCCCCACTCACACACATTGTTTAGATCTTCAGGCACATAGGAAGGACAACTCCATCATATTTGTGGACATTTTAATCTACAAATCCATTTGTTCATGATAAACAACATTAATGATATACCTAGCTGCTCTGCCTACTTAGAATAATTTGGAAAATGTATTATTTTATAAGAATATCAGCACACCCAAGCTGAATGCCTTTAAAGTCAAATCTTGATGCTCGATAGCCACCAAAATCAGCAGTTAATAAACCACAGTGGATATGAACAAACTATATTCTGTCAAGTAACATCTGTGAGAAACAGAATACAGTGGTTGTGCTCATAAGACTCCGAAAGGAAGCTATTTGTGCCAGTGATCGATATCTCACTTTCATTTGCTTGGTGGCTTCTTCGTAGTAAGGCTGTCCTGTGGCTCAATGTGGTGCTTATAGCTGCAGAAACCTGAGGAAATGAACTCTATAGTGATTCATATTACGGTTTTTACAATCTGCCAATCATCAGAGTGAAGATGCAGATCCAAGTGTCCCCACTATAGTGTGCTTTATAAAAATATGTTCCATGTTTGTTGTGAAGAGAGAATCATATACAATCGCCAGTAACCAACCATTTGTGAGCTACAACAATGACCGTTTTATATGATTGACTCTATATGTTGTTCTGTGTTATTCCCAGTGAGTAGAAGTACATTATCCCCAGGCTAAACACTTATCTATTACGCTAACGTTTAATGGGAATCTGTCATGTAGATATACCGTTGGCTTTTGGAATAGATGAAATTCTCTGTCTTAAAGGACTTCTCAGTTGAAAGACTGTGTTACTTACATGATGGGCTCTTAGTAGGACAGATTTATCTAAAGATGGTGTACTTGTGAAGTATGATCCGGTAGGTAGACACAGGGAGCAAAAGCAAAGAGAGCCGTCTCACAGATACGGTGAAAACCAGTCAAGGAAGACTTCGCAAAGGGACATTTAGGTTAGCCAGAGGAAAGGCACAGTCAGTGCACGGTGGGACACTCAGACCATCAGCTGGGAGAGCCATTGCTTGGGAGCACTCTCATTCAGCATTGGTATAGAGGGGTACGGGAGAAACAGGAAGGATCTCTTAGACAAAGCTAAGGCATTGAGATTTTATACTAAAATGAAGAGCTTTTGGAGGTCTTAATTAGGAGTAACACAACTGACTTACTTTAAAATTGTGAGTATTTTACCTACTAGAAGAACATATTAAATAAGGGGAAGGTGAAGATGATTATGTATCATATTTCATAGACTCCCAGCAAGCACCATATGTTCCAGATCATGTACTTTTCCTTCCACACCACAGGTGACCACATAGCCATCCTACCTGTCACTCACCCCCTGCTGTTCTTTGTAGAATTTACATCTAAGTATCTCCACAATAGATATTTCAGTCTGTCTGCACTTAGTTCCACATAGTTGTCATTATAGTACATTCTTAATCCTCTGGTGACAAACTTTGACTCACACATATAGTATATTTGCATAAGTTGTTGTATAGCGTTTTATTGCAGAAATATACCAAAATTTGCTTATCCTTATACTGTTGATGGGAACTCAGATTTTATTTAGTTTCCATCACATACATTTAGAATAAATATCAAGAGGAAGGATTGCTAGGTTTTGAGATATATGTGTCTTTAATTTTAATAAATAATTGAGAAATCTTTTTGAGTTGGACGTATCAATTTGTACTCACAGCGATGGTGTAGGGAAACTCAACATTTTCCCCTGAACTTCATTTGCAAGTTCTTAGGTTTTCCTAATCAGGTGAATGTGTAATTATACTCATATAAGTATCAATTTGCATTTTGCTGATTACTAATGAGGAATATCGTTCCATTTTTTTTAAAATGTGGCCAATTGATGTTCCTCTTTTGTGAAGTGCCTGTTCCAGCCTTTTTGAGATGTATCTTTCAAAATGGTATCATTTTTGAATTCTTACTGTGTAATAGGCACTATACTGAGCACTTTACAAACATTAATCTTCCATCATCTTTGTGGCTTACAGACAAGGGAACCCAGAATTTAGGAGGTTAAATAGCTGACTGACAGACATGCGGGGAAGGAGCTGTGGACTTAGCATTCAACTTGAACTCTTTCTGACCTGAGAGCTCTTTACTTTCTCAGAGTTTGTTCAGAGGCTGATTAGGCTGAGGCCAGAGGGAACATTCTAAGTGCTTCTGCAAGAACAAAAGTAATGAAAGCGTAAGGTAAAGATTTGGCAGAAGGAGTAGACCTGGAGATAAATGCAGCGGGTGGGTGGAGAAGGTGGGGTGAAGATGGTCTCAGGCTTCCCGATCTGTGGGCTGGGCAGAGTCAATACGAGTCATATGTGTGTCTGTATAGTCGTGGTATTGTAGGAACCTCCAAGAACATACTTCATGATTCTAACATTTAATAAGAAGTCAGTTAAGGCCTGTAGGGTTATGAAGTTCAGGGTTAAAAAGAGACCACGGTGTTTATTTGGGTCAACTCTTGACTTTCTAAAAGATGTGGCACTAGTTGCCAGCTAGTGGCCTTTTCAAGATCATGGGTCACCAAGGGTCATGTTAAGAACAGACACTAGGACTGCAAAAAACAGCAACGACAACAACAACAACAACAAAATACCAAATAACAGCCGCCTGCCTTTTAAATTAATATGTGACCCTGCAATCAACCTGCTTTATTTCTTAAACCCTCAGAGGTCAGCACCCTTTGGTCGAAGTCTGTTGTCACTGTCACAGAGGCTCTGTTCAGCATCTTTCTCAGGCTTATTAAGTAACCTTAACACTGTCATATTTTTTTTGCTGATGATTCTACCAACAAAACCACACATTTTTATTTTAGTTTACAATTATTGCCATACAACCTGCCCGAATGAGGACTTGTCAATATACTCTATTGTTCATGTAATAATTTCCCTTCTCAAGAACCACCACATTCTTGCCCAGCCCCATCTTAGAGACTCCTGCCAGGGACTCCAGTGCGTCTCTATCCACCTCCACACTCAGGGCTTCTCCTCTGTGGTTTTCTGCATAGTGCCAATTCTGCTTTTTCCCTCTCTCTGTTCCTTGCAGAAGGCTCCAACTTACAATACTTAACTTACGGTTTTGTCTTTGGTTTTTGGTGCTTTTTTTGTTTGTTTCACAGTAATGCTTAAGTGATATACATCCATTAAGAATCATGTTTCAGCAGCTAAGAAATGCAGAGACAGGGGAAATAGTCTTACTTAGGGGGGAACCTTCCCAGTTGCTTATCCAGTACCAAGTGGTCATCCCTGGTATCACATACATACAAAGTAACACAATACAGACTCTGAAGGCTGTAGTTACATATTTAGGAATATATATGTACACACATATGTGTGTACTCATGTGCATGTGCATGAGTGCAAGTGTGTGTGTGTGTGTGTGTGTGTGTGTGTGTGTGTGTGTGTGTGCAGATAATAACAGTTAATGAAAAAGAGATCATGAATTTGAGAGAGAGCAAAGGGGCACATGGGAGGAGGGGTTGAAAGGAGGAAGGGGAAAGGGAAATGATGTAGTTATATTTTAATTTCAAAAATAAAAAATCATTAAAAAGAATCCTTCAGATTGTGAGTCTTGGTCTTTTGCCCAGCTGGTGATGTGCTGGGCAAAATTTACTTGTGATGATTGGAAGCAGCAGGAATCTGCAGATCCCAATTAGCTGGATGAGGTACATAACACTTTATTATAAAATATGCTTTTCGTTGGGATGACGTCAGCCAACTGGAGGCTAATGGAAGTGTCCTGAGTCCATTCGAGGTGAAATAAGCCATGCTTGCAAGGTTGGGTGTAGTGCATGTGCTTTTGACTTCTGATAGTTTCAGCTTGTGATCTGTTTCCTGGAGGGAGCATCACAGTTGAGGAGCATCTTTATCTGGCCTTGCTGGTTGTCTTGGTTACTTTCCCATCACTTTGACCATAACACCTGTCTGAAGTAATTTAAAGGAGGAAGAGGTTTCAGAGAATTTTGGTCCATCGTGATGGGGAAGGGATGCTGGAAGAACTTCAGTCCATGGTGGCAGAGCTTGTGGCTGAATTCTTCCCAAGGTCTTTGGATCAGGAAGTAGATAATGAGTCTGGACTGGGGGTCATCCTCAAAGGCCTGCGCTAGTGACCTACCTCCTGAAGTCCCCACAGTTGGGAACAAGGTGTTCCAACATGACCTTGTGGAGGACATTCTATATTCAAACCATGTCATTATCCTCCCAAACATTTGCTACACTAAGAAAACACAGTGTGGGCCTCTTCTACAGCTCAAGAGAAATGCAGCATCCCAGGACCTTCTGAGACTCGCTGACTCAGAATGTGCATTTTCACAGAACTTGAGTGATTTTTATGCACATTAAAAATTAAGAGGTACTGTGTATGTTGGCTCTGGATTTCTTCTGGTGTCTTCTCTTAGAAATAGTCTTTTTAAAATCTTTTCCATTTGGCATTCTTTCTCAGTTCCTTTCGGCAATCTGAACATATCCCC